AACAAAATATATCAGGCTCGACCGCAAAGCTCGTGAAGCTTCTTTTCGGGGATCCCAGTATCAAATATCAACCTTTTTTATAAGCGATCTAAACAAACTAACTGTAGGTGACGTGTGTAGAAATTTAAGAACTTTATTTTTGAACTATTAAAAGGCCGAATGGTCTTAGAACTCCGCCCCTGAAATGTTTGCTTAGAGCCCTTTGAATGATCACGCAATTTGGTCAATGTTAGGCCCGTACTGTCAAATTTTTAGCGTCAAATTAAAAAAACAAACAGATGGTATGATTCAATTTTCGACTGCTCACGAACACAACCTTTTTTGGTGCCCTTAAACAACTTTTCTTTCTTTTAAAATCATAGGCTTGCAGGATTAAAATATATTTCGCTATTCTGGAGTAGCAATATATAAGAAATGAGAACATTTCAAAGTATTGAGTAATATTAAGGAAAGCGGAAGAGATCATGATATAGATGTTTCAGCTGTGTACTCATTTTGGTAACCTCAAAAAAAGGCGCCCACACATCACGTATAATAACTTTAATAACAGCATTTTAAAATCTCCGACTCGTTTCTAGCAATATTTAAATGTTTTACAGAACGTTTTCCTTAAAAGATGCCTTAACAACAGGTGTAAAAATAAATCGGAGTTTGGCACACGAGCGTATTTGGTGATAGTGGTGAGGGGACGGGGGGAGTTTTCCCTCTTTAACTATGCGAGTTTTTATTAATATTAGCGACCTTTGTATACTAAGACGACGACGACTGCGAGAACAGGATTTTCTAAATACTAAGTAGTGTGCGCGCCGTACGTGAACCAGCGTTTTTGGCGGGAAAACGTGGAATCCATTGTCATTCTAGCGAAATGTCTTAAAGTGGCGGGTTAAAAAACGGTTAGAAGTTTTTAGGGCTTAAAATCTCCTTCAATAAAAGCACGATAAAGCTTTCCGGGTGTACATATTTTGGGTATTCGAGAAAAAATATTAAATTAAATCTCGTCCTCGTATCGATTAAAAAAAGGTCTCTATTTTTACATAACACACCGATTCTGGCTTAACAATGTTTACTGAAACCTTCGTCAGGACGTCTGCAGAAAAGGGTGAATAAATTCAAGGTGGTTCAGCTGAAGGGGGAAAGGATTTAGTTGGCGGTGGGTTTGGCTAGCTAGGGAACCTCGACCTTTTAAGCTATGGGTTTTGGGTGTTTGGTAAAGAAATTAGTTTCTAAAGGAATAATTCGGTCACACTAGCAATAGAGTGCTACTACTCTAATAGCTAAGCTTTTTATTTCCACACTTACGTTTCCTAGATCTGTGCTCAATAATCAGCCATTAAATACAAAAAAGATCAGACTTTTTGTATTTCTTCTTATTCTTGGCACTGAGAAAATACGGCTGGTATTTCAAACCTGGATATTGTCTGGGGGCATGAGATAAGTCCATTATTACTTCTTTGTTATAGACATATGTCTAACCGATTTTTTGAACGAGCCTAACCATGGCCAGGAGCCCATCAAATGGGATGGGCTCCTGACCCAACAAAATTTTCCGAGTCATTGAGTGAAAAAAAAAGTCCAAAAGGCAGGCTTTTTGCGCTCGACAACGCCGATAAGCTGGAAACCCCCGCACACAAGTGAAGGAAAAGGAAAGAAGGAAAAGAAAGAGCGAGAAGGACGAAAGCAGGAGAACAGAAAAATAGCAATGGCTGGTCTCACTTTTAGTTCTTATATGATGGTTACTAGTATTTGGAGAAAGTTTCTGGCCGAAAAAAATTTTAATTGTTTGAAGGACGAGGTCTATTTGGCGGTGACGTTTTTAAAAATCCGGGTAGATGTATATTTTTTCGTTTGTTTTGCATACAGTTGGTCTGTTTCCAAAGGCAGTGCACTTGCTACGAAACAGTTGGAGGCGAACTCAGTTTTCCTGCTGATCCAGGTCTCAAAACTTATCTTCAATCTTCTGTCACGCAGGCTATGATAAAGCGCTTGCTGCAACAAATTTGGTTTCGGTAGTGGCACAAGATGCGTGGAAGAATAATTATTTGAATATGACTCCTTTTCATTGCAACTATAACCCAGTAAGCTGACGTGGAACTAGAACATACTGCCTTGCTAACATGCAAACTGAAAAAAAGCATTTGGAGCATTAATTGTTGGCTTGTGCACTAAGGTGAAAAATAGCCACATTACATCCATTTACATCCTGCATGCAAAGAAAATCCTGTCAGGGAACTGACTATGCAGCTTTTCTGAAATCGTTTCTGATCGAATATAGTTCTATCAAGCGTTATAACGACAGACACTGTACAAGCTGCTTAAGCCACTTGGTCAGGTTTAAAAAAATACCGTGATGAAGTCCTTGTGGGTTATGAATAATAAAAATGCTGTTTTGCGTTTGTTTCTGGCATTATATTCAATTTGTTCAGTTTTAACACTACAACGATGCAAATATCACATGCAGCCTTATAATATCCGACTGCTTCTTTTGAAAACTATCTATTATAAAATGGTTAATCTAAGTATTTATGAGGCAAAACTTGCTTCCATGCTTGTTGTACCGGGAGTATGAACGTGTGCGGGGAACTTGAACCCTTGCGTGCGATATGAACAATTTTAAAATGACTTTCAATTTCGTTTGAAAATGTATTTCCGTGATAAACACCTGACAGCATATGCTGATAAATTATAATAGTTAACGAGATCTTTTTCCCCGCAGGCAATTCATTATCCTCCACAAGAGGTCTTAATCTACGGGGGGCAAAATAGGATAACTGCTCATAACAGAATTCGCAGCGACCATACGGTAATTGCCTGAGTTTTATTTAATACGTAAAAGTCAGGATCCCCGCTTCTTTCTGATGCCATAAAACGTAGATCCGAATGTAAGGATAAGTTTTTTTGTTTGACGAGTTTAAACACTTCCCAGATTCTGTTTGTTTAACAAATTGTACATCAGTGGTTGTAAACAAACTCATTTCCCTAATAGCTTGTGTTTTGTGCGTTTTTAAAATTCACATCATGCGTTTTCCTCTTAACCAGGTGCTTCGCCGCTTCTCGAGTCAACAGTGAAAAACTGGCCGCCGCGAGAATATTTTCTTAATTCAAAAAGGTGTGTACCGAACGGGTAATTTTGCCAAAGAACGGGCAAAAGTCAACTTTTCAAAACTCAGAAAGACAATGAAAAGTTGTCATAGTTTCCACCCGGCTCTTTAATCATTGAAACTGCCTACATTAAAAAAAACCATTAACATTATTAGGTCTGCAATAAGATACCTTTGATATTAACCACTAAGTGGAAGTTTAGGTGATCGAAATTCTTATCTGTATAATTAATTGAATACATTAGAAACACGCAACTTGAAGGAAAAAACGTAAAAAAAAAATGGAGGCAGCTTGACAATAAAAATTGAACTATGTTGATTATTTTTTCTTTATACAACACGATTTTTATCCTCCTGGCCAATGTTTAATCGACGTTGTTCGTTCTGCTATGTGACATATCCGAATTAAATTGCTACGTATAAATATACGGAGCTACCTGCAATCGCTTCTTCACTTTATTCTCAAGACATCAATAAATATGAAGCAAGAAGAGCTAACATCTTTTTCAGCAGTCAAAAGTGAAAGGCTGAAATCTTATCAAAGGATTTTTTTAAAACGGTGATCATCGCTACTATAAATATCTCTGACTAGTGCAACTAAAAGTAATTGAGACTGACGATTTACCATACTGATTTATAACTAACTATCAGACCAGAAAATATTTAAGAACTGATTATCTTTCACTCCAAGAAAGTAAGAAGTAGTAATATCACCCCACTTTCCCAAGGTCAATATTCTACTCGGTCTTTGTGTTAATAACAATTGTGGCAAATACATTTTCCCTTAGCAACCTGAATACAAATGTTTACCCTTGCATTATATGGCGGCACAATTTCGACTTTGATAATTATTCTTGTATTGACGTCTTTCAAGTCGTCGTAGTGTCTTTGCAGTCCACTATAACAATTTAAAAACAAAGTCTAGATGCGAGAAGATAATCTAGGGAATAACTCGACGTATGGCATGGTGTATTAAACACGGGGAAAAAGCCCGAAGTCATTAGAGTAAAAAACGGAAAGTCAAATCTCTAAAAGGCCAAAAAGAGGACAGAATTTGTCACCCATGCAAAGGGAACAAAGGAAACAAGTGGAAGAAAGCGGCTTATCGGCTAATGTTTAGATGACATAATACTTTATAAAAGCAATCACTTACATAAGGCAGTGCTCAAAACATAGATGGGGGAGGCCGGTGGGCTGCAAACGACAAGCCGCACACTTTGCATGATCCTCACTATAGTCACCATCTCAGATCCTCTCCATCTCTCCTCCTGGAGAATAGAGCTATCAAGACTTTTCTCTGACTACAACCTTTCCTGGATTTCCTCCAAGCTCTAAATCACAGGGGCGTTCTTTGTTTCTCGACTTTTCGGCGTTTCCAATTTATTCGTGGCTTGGTGCCATTTTTCCAGCCACATGGAGGTAAAATTCTAAACAAATTTTGACCTACTGAGATGTACACACTCACTTTCCCGCGCAAAGGCGCCAGCTGCGTGTATTTGTCTTGATTTCTGACTGGCTCAGTGGATTATCTCTCTTCCGATTGGCTAGAATGGCAACCTTGGATTTTAGCTTAACGACACTCATTTGCGCTAGATAAGTGTTTTGTCTGATTGCTTGCACGCAAAGAAACATGTCAGTGATTATCAGCGCTTGATGTCCCAAAAAGAAAACAGGATAAGCCCAATTTACTGTTAAGTACAGAAGGAACTTCGATAGCTCAATCTCCAGGGGAAGCGAAATTAGTTCGAGCTAGTAGGTAATTATTTCGCAGCTGCTTTTGAATTTTAAGTGTCGCATTAATGAATAATAATGGATCCAAGTTTTACTTTAGTATTTATTGCTTCTCGCGAATCATTCTGTCACGCTAAGAACTCACAAAATCTTGAACTAATTGTTTTCTCGGTTAAACTAGGTCCGCCTATACACTACTTACAACCCCTATCCCCTTAATCCTACAAAATCACGGAATGTCTTTAAAATTGGCGAACCTTTAATGAACAATGTACTTCCGGGATTCACACTTTTAAGCTTATCAGCTGCAATGTGACGCTTAATTTGTGCGGGTTCTAATTTTCGCGGATTTTTATACGATCCACACTAAACAAGCTAATGCAAACAAAAACTATCGCAAAAATTAATTCCACGCTCTACTGTAGTATTAATAAAAAAGGGTTTCTGGCAATTCCCCATCTACATCACTATGGTAATTGAGTTACATAATTAAACGCTTTTGACCAATCGCAAATTATGTGTTGGAGTTTCCTTCATGACTAAGGGTGTTAACCTAATGTTTTTCAAGACATCTTCTTCACCCTACTATGGCGACTTTCCTGCGTTTGTCGACTCAAATTTGAAGATTCTGAAATGAACACAGAATAGGAAGATTCTGCACGTGAATAGCCTGAGAAAACAGCCCACATACCGCGACGACACCACTGGTCCCCTCTACGAAATGACGTCTGAGAAAGGAGGGCAGAAATTCCATACTGAAGACGTGTCACTATCCAGATCTGGGTAGTGCTTCTGATTGGTTGAAACAGGTTTCCCACGCCGCATGACCAACCAGAAGCACTACCCAGATCTAGGTAGTGTCGCATCGTCAGTTTGGAATTTCTGCACTCGTTATTTCGCGGGAAACTAGCGGTGGCGTCACGGAATGTTGGCTGTTTCCTCAGGTTTGCAGGTGAAGTGCTCTTCAGTCTTCTTGTAATCGACGATGATTTGAATGCCAAGGCAATGAAGATGTCTGCACAACTCCGAAAAGTCGGCAATGTTGCCTTTGGTCCTCGAACATTTCTTCAATGAGACTTCTTCAGTTTGGGAGCGATGAAACTCCTCATGAAGGCCGAAAGGGATGGTGGGATTCCTGTACTCGTACGGCTTTTGGAACTGAGCGTCGTGTTAGCAAACGACATCTGTTTTGATAAGACCAAAAATTGGTTAACTTTCTTTATAAAAAAAATTAAAACGCGGGTCACTTTATGAGTTTTAGGGGCTGTTTACATCAAGGAGGGAGATCCTAGCACCAGGAAGATCCTAGAAGGTGGATCATCCTATAGCGCCATATGTTTTCTGTATTCCGTTTACATTAAAAAAGTTGTACTTGTCCCTAGAACTAGAATCTTCCAAGTACTAGGGTCTTCCTACTGTAGCTGAGAGGTAGGAAGATCCTAGCACTGTGTAAACTGTTTTCTCAAGGAAGATCCTATTACTAGGGCCAACCACACAAAAATGGCGGCCGGTCGTTCATTGGGTAATCTTTGTTCTTTAATTTCTTCACGGCTCTACTGGTAACCGCACGGACTGAAACTTCTGCATGTAAATTCAACGAAACGTTGTTCCGCCTTCTAGGATCTTCCTCCCTCAATGTATAAAGCCCCTTACTAAGCTCATTTCCGTAATAAGTATTCCTTGGTTAGATTATACAACATCAATTATTATCTGAAGACGTTTTGGACAACTTATCAGGGCTACCTCTTCTCACGAGGACCTCTTAAGTATACCCGAGTCCCGCTTCTGCAACGACACAAAACGAATACCGTAAACTGTCGCTTATAGGCCCTGGGCTTAAAAATCTTCCTAAGGAGTTTTGGGATGATGGCTTATATTCGGGGGGGCTTATATCCAAGGGGGCTAATAACCGAAATAGGAAAGGCGTTTCAAATCAAGCTATAGAAGTGCGGAACAAAAAGGGACTGGAAGGGGGGCTCTGATACCGTGTTTCCCGCTCCTTTTTCACCAGAATCCCGCATCCCGAACTTCTGTCATCGCTGTCCCGAATATATATTTTTTTCCCAATCCCGCATCCTTCTGCCCAAACTTTGGCGAATCCTGCTTCACAAGTAGCAGTCAAATCCCGTATCCCGCACTGTATTTTGGTCAAATTCCGAGAATACCCTTCCAGACCCAGAACAAATACGTTTTGCATTTACTGCTTTTAAATCTTAACGGTCAAAACGTCATAATAAATCGAATTTGGGGGGGGGCTTATATTGGGATGAAGTTTTTTGTTTACAAGTAGGTGGGCCTATAACCCGGGGGTTTATAAGTGGGGGACGGGCAGTCTACGGTACCTTGTTAGGTCCAACTAAAACACAACCGTATAAACTGTACCGGTGCAATTTAGATCCTATCACTTACCTGCACCTTGGCGTTAGGAACCATGAGTGAATTTTCACGGGAATTGAATAAGGTCTTACGCTTTTTGGTGTTGTCTAACATGGAGCACATTTCAGTGCTGGTAGTGGCATCTGAGCCGCAGGACTGTTGGTCAGCTGGGGGTAACACCTCGCTCATGCTTGAAGTAGGTTTTCTAAGAATCAAAGGAACAAACCAAGGTTGCTTACAGTTGTTTTCAAGTTTACAACTGTTATTAAAGAGGATAGTTTACAAATATCTAATAAGAAATATTGACAAGTAAAAATATAATCGTTGTTACAACTGACAAATACGGAAAATTATCGGTTTGATAAGCCCTCCAAAAACGCGAAAAAATATTAAGTTAAGAATCTTCCAGTGAAAATAATACGAAAAACAATTTTACAACTTCACTGAAAAAAGCTTTTGGGGACTTCTGGGGTATTTCTAAAATTAAAATTCATTGTTATCTCTGTTCATTTGTCTATACTGTCCCGATTAATTTCTCCTCAAAGAGCCGAGGCATTTTCATTAACTTACAAAATGTCAAGAAGCAAATGTTCCCGTTAGGTATCGAGGAATTCTGTTTTGGAATGGCTAAAACATTCCTTCCATTCCATTGTAACACAAAATACAAACAAAACTGAACCATGTCGTCCTTAGTTGTTTTTCACAGTAGTGTTTGTCTCGGAATGTAATTGAACAACTTAGGTAGGCATTTTTATTTCTTGATAATCAGTTCTTATTCCGCCATACTGGCGTCCACTCGGTAGGTAGTAACAGCCGACAGGTGGAGAAATTGTACTGCAATGGACCTACCACATATTTTCTAATAAAAGAGCCACAGCGCGATTAACCTCAGTGCACATGTTGTCAAGCGTTTGAGTATATTCTAAACTTAGAGTCTGGACAAAGTCCAAAAACGGGTCACTATTTAATGAAAAGCCACTGATGGTTAAGGTGCCGTTTTTGTTTATGTATAAGGTGGTTTAGTAACGTTTTAGCCTTAGGCCCAAATTCTATGGCGTGACCACTTAGAATGAGAGCTATAGAGTCATGTATAACATGGTGCACAGCCTGTGTCTAGTGAATATTATTTTGCATATGGGAATGTCAGATTTAGAACATTTTTCTTAACCGCAGTTAATTATGGCAATCAACGCAAAAAAAAAACATTGAAACTTTTTTCAACGCGAATTTTCCCCAAATTTAAACACTGAATACCCGCATAAAACGAACGTCTTTCATACCTTTTCTTTCCCCTTGCTTCACCATTCAGTGCTTTTTCCTTTAAGAATGTCTTTGTTTTTCCGCAGGGGTGTTTAGAACCTTTTCTTTTCGACTGAAAAGTGTCTGGAAAAATAGGAGATTGAACTATCTCTCTGGTGGAACTTTCACTACTATCTTTATTAACCACATCCGTATCTTTTTCCTTTGAAACATTAGCATTGTCATGTTCTGAATTCTTCCCTGTCTGTCTGGCATCCTCACATTTTGTCAAGCAAAGGTCAATGTTCTGGTTTTCCTTTTCTTTCTCCGCTGCGTTTATTTCGTTTTTTCCATCGATGGGAGACTTTCTTGACTCCTTTTTTCCCAATTCCTTGTGGAAATAATCTCGCTTGGTCTTTTTTCCAGCTTCCTTTATCCGATTATCCCTTTTATCCGAGCCCCCCTGGGCCGAGTTATAATCCATAAGAAGCTCGCCCTCGGCGACTTTGTTGTTTTCCTCATTCAGCCCTCCCTGTATTTCCGTTTCCGGTTGCTGAGATGTATCGCAAGACGTGACCGGGTTTTCGTCAACAGGGGGATCGATTTCATGCGATGACAGCTCAGGTTCACGAGTTAATTTCTTAGCTTGGGGCGATGACATATGCGACATAACGGGTTCATGACCCTTCAAACATCTTTCATCCATTTTGTCATTCTTTTTCGTCGCTATCGTGCCCTTATCATCTGGTTCTTGTCTGGTTTCGGTGCCAAGTGTTTTGATATCTTCGACTTGACCTTTAATAGACGGATCTAATCCCACATCACAATTTCGTTTCTGCGCGGTTCGTTTTCTTAGAGCTCTTCCACCTTTATCGCGTGTTTTTTCATATTCGCCCTTCTCTTCGTCTGGGATTGTATCCTCACAATCTTTCTCTTTGGCAGACTTCACCTTTTTGGTTTCCTTTCTCTTTTTATTTCCCCCCTTTTCTTTCACTTTTCTCGCTTTTTTATTCTTATTTTGAACCTTGTTGGAGTCTTGGTTTTCTTCAATCTCGAACGCGTTCTTTCTCCTTGGGCCGGTCGGTTTTCCTTCTAATGGTTTCTGGCGATACCTCAAACCAAGGGAACATTCCTCGTCTTTCTCCAAAGCAGGGCGGGATGATTCTTCAGTCAATTCTTTGTCGTCATCTGTATTTTCTTTATGACTGACTTCTTCCACTTCGGCTCCGTTTTCATTAACTTTTAACCCTCGTTTGGGGCCAACATCTTCAATGCAAACTGTCAGTTGAGAAAGCTTCCCAAAGCTGCACTTGCTTGATTTTTCTGAAGCGCTGGTTTCTGTAGCTAATCCCGCTATTTCCTCACCTGAATATGCAACGACCTCCTTATCCGTTATCTTCTCCCAACTCTGGCTGCTTTCATCTGATTTTTTGCGCAATCTGCCTGGAGTCTTGCTGTACTCTAAAGGCGGGATATCTTCCTCTCGTGAAGTACTCGATAACAACCACGCACTGCCAGCCTTTGCTCGTTTACGCACATCCTTATCATTATCTTCCACCATAGCGTTGATTGAATCCATTCCTGCCTCCATTTTCAAGGGCTTCCTCTTTCGCGAGACTTTCGGGTTTTCTTCATCCTTTTTCTTAGCTATTACCTCGTTTGCCGCATCTTCGCCCTTATTCGTCTTCTTTTCATTTCTTTTGTTTTGTCTACCTTTATTTTTCGCTGGTTGAGCATTTTTCACATCCCGTTTATCGTTTGTTCTTTCTTCGGGTTCTGGCACTCTCTTTCTTCGCCTAAAAGATTCATCCATTCTACTCTTTATAACCTCACCCCTATTTCGCACTTTGTCTGTCTCTTGGAGATCTTTGTAGATTTTTCGGCCATCTTCGCCATTCTCTGGGGTATATTCGTAATTCTTTCGGACACATTCGTCAATCATGTAAACATGACCGTCATTCGTTCGGGCATCTTCGGCGATTCTGTGCACATTATCGTCAGGTTTTCGCACATCTCCAATCATTTCTAGGGCCTGTACTCCAACATCGCAAGTTTGAAGATCAACTTGAGCCATAGTTGAGGCATCTTCCACGGTTACCCGCGTTTGGATAGCCTTGCTCTAATTTTGACGGAAAAAAAAAACATGAAATTGCTCAGTGTTCATAAACTCAACAATATATTGAGCAAAAAACTTAAACCGTGTGATCAATTGTCGATAAAATTGCTCAAATACTCGAACCTTCACCGCTTTGTTCTTCCTGCCCAGTTCCATTCTGAGATCCTCCACTTCTTTGAATGTCTGCAGGTGCTTCTCCTATGAAAGGAACAGAAAAAAAAAACATTTTAATTCAAAAGTGGAAGAGAACTATATTGAACCAGGAGCCCATAATTGACCTATGTGGTCAGGGGGAGCACTGTTACCCACGAATGTTGACCGCACGCTGAGATTCTATACTTCCAATGTGAATTTGACAAAGGTAGAAAAGCAATCACTCAATGACTGAACGACTGGTTATTTGGGAAACTGGTTAATTTTGTTTCCCTCGAATTTAGCCTTCGAGCAGGTTTACTTGAGCAAGTTCAGGCAAAATTTTCCACGAACTAGCAAGAATGAACCAGCATGCATGCTACCTCGAATCGGCGGAGATTCTGGGGCAACAAATTTGCTGTTCCCCTCAAGACCCTAAAAAAGTTTTATCATTATAATTATTATCATTAATAATTATAATAATAATAATAATAATACAGGAAAACCTCCCCACTGTAATAAGCACTGATATCAAAGGGGGTCTTGTTATTAAAATACATAAGGTAACAAACGAAGAAAATTATGCAGGGCCGATATACAAAAACAAATCAACAAATAAAATGAACAACTAATTAAGGAAAAGGTATTTTATCTTTAGTTTCCCTTGAGAAATCAAAGAAGCATTCCTTTGATTTGATATGGCAAAGAAGACCATTAAGTTCCATCACACCGCAATAAAAAATAAAAAGATCTCTTGGCGACCTCTAAGTTGACTTTCTGATTGTGAATGTCATCACATCGTCTAGTCATAACTGTGTACAGAGGAATTATTTACGAATTATTTATTGTTTATTATCATACTCCTTGCCAGTGAGCACTCATGAAAAGATGTTGGCATTATGTACCTGCCAGCTCTTGATTTCTTTTTGAAGTAAATTCTCTCTTTGGACTGCACTTTCTCTTTGTTTCTCTATTCTCATTTCCATTTTGGAGTTCATCCTGTCCTCCAGTTTCTTTCTCTCCAAATCTTGATGAACTTTTTCATCCTATTGGGAATCACAAAAAGTCTAAGTCCCCTGTTGGGTTTCAGTACTTCGGGATCATCAGGAGATTTTTTGCAACGTTTTTGAAAAACTTTACTGGTACAAATAAAAAATTTCTTGAGAAAAATTTTTAATAGGGAAATACAAAAAAAAAATACTAAGAAAGAGAAAAGCGAGCAAACCTAGCTATAGGAAGGCTTCTTTAATAGAAGCAGGGAGCTTAATAAATCTTCGTAGTTTTAAAACCATTTTCCCTTTTTTTCATTTTTTTTTCCTGGGAAGTGATCACAGAGTTCAGCAATTTTTTATGTATTAAAAGACATCCCGGTAGACATATGCATGACACCCACTTAGACATGCGCGGCTTGTGTTTGTAAGAGGAGGGGAAGGGGAAATTATTTTCTCACACCCAAAATGACCTTACCCCTTACCCCAACCTTTCGCACGCCTGGCACTACTTAAACCTCAACGTAACAGCCTATGAGCAAGCAAGAGAACATTGTTGGGACAATAATTAATGGACTCTTATCTGGCAGTGCATCCGTCAATTGCTTTGTATTAAACATTTGCTTTTTTGAAAATATCTAAGCCTGAACTACTGGAACTATATTTCTCAAACTCATTAATAATTCATTAAGAAAATACAAAGGAAATTAATGTTTAATGAGTGTTTGGAAATCGGATGAAACACTGCTTAGTATTTGCATCCTTAATTTCTCCTTCAAAAATGATTTTGTTTGAGAAGAAATATCAAACATTCGACACAGTGTTTCATCACCAGATGAAACACCTCGAAGTTCGTCAAAAATACTCCGCTGCGCGTCGTATTTTCAACTCTCTTCTCGGTGTTTCATCTGGTGATGAAACACTGCATCTCATGTTTGATATATTACATGAAGACTATGGGCGCCATCCATTCAACCAACATTCAGACCGGTCCGACCGGGAAAAGAGGACCAACTCAAAAGGTGGACCTGTTTTTTCGAAACTTTTCCGGTTGGACCGAACCGATCCATTGAGTTTTGGACCGAAATTTCCGGAAAGTTTGATTGAATGGATCGCGCCCTATTTCTCTACCTTCCTATTTGTAATTACCAGCTGATTACCAGGCCAAATGAATTCGAATGAACATTTCCTTTGGGGTCATGGAGGCTGTTAATAAACAAACCCGGTATTAATTGAAGAAATATATGTTAGTACCTGCAAAGTCTCTTGAGCAGTTTGTAGCTGTTTGGTTGTGCTCTGTAATTCTATTGACAAAGCTTCCAATTGTTCCTGATGAAAGAGAAATAATTTACAAGAAGGCCTACTACTGGGAAAGATCAACTAGCTTTAACCTTTAAAATACGAAAACCGTTGTGATTCGGAGATATGAGACTTCTTAAAAAGCGTTCGTAGGTATCGAAAACAAAATGACCTCGGAAATTAAAATGTTTCATAAACGGTACCTGAAGTTGTGATTCGTGCTTTCTGATCTTTTTGTTGACGCGAACATTCTTTTGAAGCCGTTCATTTTTTATCAACAATTCCAATTCTACCATAGAACGCTTGCACAATAGCGTATCCTGAAAGACCCGAAGCTTAGATTTTTCATATTCAGCTTCCAAAATTCTCAAATCGGCAGAAAACCACGGAAACCCTTCTTCGATCCCCGCCATCTCCGCCATCTTGAAGTTCGCGGTTTGTTTTCAAACTGATACATTCTAGCTGCTAATTGGCCAAAATCTTCTAAATCGAGAAAGATGATTGGCTAATACTAAGTGTTCTCTTGGAGTTACCGCAAGGAATCTAGATCGCAGGCGCATATTACTAACAAAATGGCGGCTTCCAAGTCCTCTTTCTCTTTCAGGAAGTATTTTCGATTCTCGTTTGTCGTGGTTATCCTAATAGATTTTGTCATGTTTACAGTGCCTATAGATGCTCTTGACAACGGTTTGGCTTTAACTCCGCCCAGTAAGTCATTTTACGTTCACGATCACACCCAGTTGGCTTTTGACAAGCTTTAGCAAAGGTTACCCCAATAAATTGTCCTTAGTAACTCAAGCCTGCATATTCCCAATCTCCAAATGTTCATAGACTTACTGGTACTTTTCAATTCTAACTTGCAGTGGGGTGGATGGCTTGGGAGAGATTCCGTTGCAATATAGATTGTAAAAATGATCCAGATAATTGTATAAGGTGAGATTGAACAAGATTCATATTTTTTGTTAATTTTTTGAGTTAAGCTTAATAAAGAAAATTCTTAGTTAATGTTCCAGGTACTCTGTAGGCAGTGCTGCCAAATCTCCCAGATAATCTGGGGGATATCTTAGACTTTGGACTGTATCTCTCAGTCTCCAGATTAGGGTATGAAACCTCCCGAATAATGCTAATGTTTGCTATTTCTTTAGTAGACTCCTTTTTCCGACAATAAATTTTAACTATTTTGCGTTTTTGAGCTATTTTGATGTTAACATGGAACGATTCCTCACCAACCCTGGTATGCCATTGTAATATAAGAAATATGTGATTGGTGGGAAGTAAACCAATCAGGTCAAAAGTTAGATAAATCTTCTAATAAGCCCCCCGTGAGACTTATTAATTTTTATTTTAGGCCCATCTGGAGATGGGGTGATTTATTTGAGAAGGGGGGGGGGGCTTATTTTATTTAGAAAAGACGATAGTATCAGTTCTCCATAAAGAACTAGAATACAAAGAGGAAAAACTTGAGTACAGTAAGGTTGGAGGTCATGCAGCTGAGGATCAGAATCAAATCCGAACTTTCAGGTGGTAAATAAACCATCCCAGATCAGTCCAAATGACGTTTTACAGTTGTGATTGATTAATATTGTCTATCATTTATTAGTGAAGAATAAATCAGGGGAGGGGAGGAGAGGGGGGCGCTTAATAGAGGATTTACTGTATGCCAAGAACATCTTTTCCAGGCATTTTGTGTCACCACATATTCGTGATGATCGGAGTCAACAAGTATTTTTTTGCACAAAAGACGTCATGCGCCGTGCATTGTGATGTCATCTATCATCCCTTCCCTATCAATTCTCAATATTTGAAGACATGGGGGAGTTAACAGCTCTTCTGCAGGTCACTTGCTTTGATCTCCTCTTTGAAGGAGAAATTTCAGTATGTGATGTGCTGTTTCACAGTTTCATCATTGTCAGCGTTCACTTCAGAGATACAGTAAAGCAATCCTCCATTGTAACTTGATCAAATGGTCATTAACATATTCTTGTAGCGCATTCTAATTGCAATAATGTGAATCAGAGTATGAAGATTTCCAAATTTGGATCCATTAAAGAGATCTTTGATTGGGACTAAAAATGTTTGTCACAAATACAGGAATGGAATGGTTATTTTTGTGTTTTTGAGATAAAGTTTAGGCTTTGAAAATGGCATTGCATTGCTGGTGAAGCCCAGTGTATTGAGTGTTCTGTCATTGTTCTTTAGTGAAAAACTCTTCATGCAGATGGCGGATCGTATTGCTGAGGATGGCTTTAAAAATGCAGGTTATCAGTATGTTTGTATTGATGTAAGTATGCTTAGAAAATGCTCATGGTTGCTTCAATTCCATTGACCTGCTATAAACTGTTAGTCAATAAATGAATTGCTATAAGGTGGCCATTGTCAAAACCTGCCTTGGACTGCAACAGATCAACCCCTGTAACCCTAATGCTAACCTTTTTTCATGTATTAAGTCCAGGTTTAATTTAGATTTTGTAGATGCCTTAGCCTGTTTCAGGAGTTCAGATGGTAGATCACAAACAAAAAAGTTGATGAGGGAAAAAAAGAATTTCACTCCCCACCACCAGAACTCCTGGAACAGGCTATTGATTCCTCTGAAAGGTACTTTAAACCAGAGTTGACTCCGATATGTAATTCAGAGGCAGACCGGCAGCCCAGTGACTCAGTGCCAAGTAAATTCACGTGCACGCACGGTATCAATACCACTTGAGAATAAACATCCTCTCTTGTGTTTTGGGTTCTGTAAAAAGGCAAACATGAGCCCTTTGCAGCTAGCCATTCACCTGGTACAAAACTGCCATGCTGGAGAGCAAAAGTCACAATAAAAGGCTTATATAATTTTAAATGGTAATTTCTTTTGTTTGTCTTGTCCCAGTGCGACTTTTGCTCTCCAGCGTGATGGTTTTGCACCACGTGAATGGCTACAATCGGTGACAAAATGAGTTGAGACACTTCACCCAAAAGTGGGCTTTTTTACGTTTTATGAACTTCAAAAGGAGGAAATATAGCTTTCCTCCCCCATCCCCTCCGTGCAATGTTGTGCCCTTGTTCTAGCTACCTATAGAAAACAACAAACACCCCAACTTTGAATGGAGGGGACAGGGGAGGGGTGCGGATTCTTTTGTTCTCCGAAGTCACCCTATTTACCGGTAAGTAAAATGTCTCAACAATTTTGTCGCCGATTGTCTGAATCTCAAAAGTGGCCGTACGTCCTTTAGAAAGTTAATTGAATTCATTTTTTTTATGCTGGGATGTAAGACCCCTGGTGGCTTTTTATTTGTTATGTTTGACTTCATCATACCTATTTTAGAACATTATTAGAATAAGGTGATTTCGTTATTTTCAGTGCGTGACATTTCGTGTCACGCTTAACCGTGCCTTGACATCGTGCGATGTGGCGCGTCGGGCACGATTTCATATTCTCTCCTTTATCGAAACGCATCAAAACAAAGAACAAAGTGAAAAGGATAGAAAACTTAATAGATTTCTAGGTATTAAAGTAGTTATAATGGCTAAAATTGCTCTTTAGGAGGAATTTTCACGAGTAACCACGAGTAACCACGATGAGTATAAAAGGAAAATAATCTAATTATCTTTTTTGAACAAAGTTGGTTACTCGTGCTTACTCGTGGCCAGTCTCCTCCTGACCTCATAGTTTCTACTGTAAAGTACATTCTTCAAAGACCCTTATGGGTATATGGGCAATGAATCTGCTGCACAGATTTTGCGATGCTATGCAGCTTAGCTGTGCATTAGAAGTTGGAACATTTTTCCTGAACATTCTCCTGCGCATAGCAATCATGGCTATTTTATCGTCCATCCCACCCTTATCAAATAGCCAAACTTCGAATAAACACTTCCAACTTACCAGGGATATATTCAAATACAATATATTATCTGCCATCAGTTCCTACGATCACACACTTAGTTACCAGAGGAAAATCAATCATTCTGTACCTGGGTATGCTGCGTAATTACTTGAAATCACTACCAAGTACAAAGATTGTCAAAACTAATTTTCCCTCGAAAAACACAGGAAACGGATTATATGGGTATTTTATCTATCTTCTGAAAAACGACCCGGTGAATATAGTAATCTCAACTAGTTACCGTCTCCTAACTGGTGCTAATAGGACAACAGCGCGAAGATTTCGGTTCAGACAATCGGCGACAAAATGAGTTGAGACACTTCGCCCAAAAGTGGGCTTTTTTACATTTTATGAACTTCAAAAGGAGGAAATATAGCTTTCCTCCCCCATCCGCTCCGTGCAATGTTGTGCCCTTGTTCTAGCTACCTATAGAAAACAACAAACACCCCAACTTTGAATGGAGGGGACAGGGGAGGGGTGCGGATTCTTTTGTTCTCCGAAGTCACCCTATTTAAGTAAAATGTCTCAACAATTTTGTCGCCGATTGTAGCTGCTAAGGGCCTAATGCATAGAGAATCAAACATATTTTTAACTGGGCAACGTACAACAAACAGAATAGGATTTCAAGGGATTGAAATGATTTAAAAGATAAACAAATTCAAACTCCATTGTGGTCCATGTTGCATGCCCACACCTGATGCATATCTGTGCTTCCATATGGATTTACCACTGGATAACCTTAACCACTGGACAAAAGATCTGTTTAAAATCGGAACTGGGCCTTCAATGAGGCCAGATGGCCTTTGGGCCATCTGGCCACTGCAGGCTAAGGGCTGCATGCCTGTTTTTAGCAAAAACCCACATATTAAACACATGTTCAAGTATATGATGATGCTCTTTGTTAGCATTATAAAAATTAAATTAATTTTGGATGGAGAAATGAGTTTCTAATCAGTTCATTTGTCCAATGTTATTCTTCAGGACTGCTGGTCTTCTCACAACAGAACTTTGACAGGGGATCTTCAACCAGATCCTGACAGGTTTCCACATGGAATTAAATACCTTGCTGATTATGTAAGTAGATTTTAAGTTCTTCCCAATCTGCTGAAAAAGACACTCAGTATGCTAGATGATAGACTGTGAGTGGTCTCTTTTCAGCTAGTAGATTTGAGACTTGACAGGACTAAAGCGAGTGAACAAGCCATGAACGCGAAGGGAAACTGGAAGAGAGAGAAACGAGAAAATGCAGTCCCTCCTTTGCTTCCTGCCTCCCTCCTCCTATTCCCTGGGCTGTCAGGAATTTTATCAAAACTCATGATCAGTAACAGTAGAAACTGACACCAAATTGAGTGAAACATAAAAATAAGCACTCAAAACATTGAAAGAGGGTATCACTAACACAGCAAAATAATAGAAAAGTAAGCACAAATGAACAAACTTGAAGAAGACTAAATCGGATTTAAATTGTGAGTTTTTGAAAACTTGTTAGCTTTTAATAATTTTCAAAGGTCATTTTTGTTGTTTTTGACGTTTGATACAATGCTTGGGAACTATATTTCTTAGACCTGCGGCTGTGATTTTGTCTGTTACAAGTAATTTCTTTGTTTACCTCAAGTTCCCAGCACATAAGGAAGTGTAATAATTGGCAATTAATTAAAAACATTAACTAGACAGCCGTGACCCAGCCCATTTAACCCTTTAAGTCGCGAGAGTGACCAACATCAATTTTCTCCTAACAAAATTAATACATTATATAATAATTATACATAATTATTAAAAGAAAAGTTTCTGAGAATAAGTATTGCTTTTATCTTTGAACAAATTCTCTCAACTAACTCTGTAAGGAAATTTATGGAGAACAGTGTGGAGAATTTGTATGTGGATATTGGGACTTAAAGGGTTAACAAGCTTGCCTGTGAAACAATGCTGAGGAAATTATACCAGTGTAGATAGATGAAGAACCACTAGTTAATGTCGAAATCCCACTCAAAAGCTTTATAGTGAATTAATAGTTATTATCTATTAGTTAGCAAATCGATAATAATAAATAATAATATTAGTTTTAGTTTTTGTAAGAAAAATAGTTTTAAAATCTTCATCACTTTATAATGTTTTGTCTATTGACTTATCAGATCCATTCTAAAGGCCTCAAGTTTGGATTATACGCAGGTATAATCATATGGTTTTTGAAAATACGTTGCAGTTAAAATTTTATGTATGAAATGCATAAATACATCAATAATATTATTGTAACTTGATGTTGCTTCATTACTAATTTTGGCATTACCTTTTAACTCCTAGACTATGGCACTCAAACCTGTGAGCGTTATCCAGGTAGTATAGAGTACATCCAACAGGATATGCAGGTATACAGGGACACTGTTTTCTAAACTCGATGCATGTCCTCTGTATTATTTCAGTCTCCTAGAAACATCAGGGCCCAGTTGTTCAAACGTTGGATAGTCCAATGGATAAATCGCTATTTAGTGGATTAATATCAGTGATGCCAATACAAATTGTACTTATTATCCACTGGATAGCATTATCCACCTTTTGAACAATTGATATAACCCTGTCGTTGCAGTAACCTTTCCACTTAAGTTTCCATTAGCCTGAGAAAGCAACCCACTTTTCGTGAAGCCACTGGTTTCCCTACCAAATGACATCTGAGAAATTAACAAGTGCAGAAATTCCATACTGATGATAATTCACTACCCAGATCTGGGTAGCATTCTGATTAGTTGCAAATTCACATATGAATGTGATAATGGAACGTCATCAGTACAGGGTGTTTACTACAGGAGAGGAGATCAGAGAATTCTCTGTTAACTACGCAAAATTGTCTGGCAAATGTTTGGTAGCCTATGACTGTTTATTATTCAAACACGGAGCCTCTTTCAAATATTCTCCTGTAACATCACACCTTTCTCCTGCTACTAGAATTCTTAGTGAAAACCCTGCAGTATAGAATTTCTGTGGTTGTTCCTCACATGTCATTTTGCGGGGAAAACAGTGGTTGAGTCGCAAAATGTTGGCTGTTTTCTCATGCTACACTTCCATTAGTGCCCAAAACCCAGTCAGAGAAAAATTCAAAGTTTTAGTTTGTGAATTAATAAGATACCAAATTATTGTATCAGTAATTTGGAAATTTTTCTAGAAAGGCATTCATTTGAATTGTGGCAGCTGTTGAAAGTATTATAATTTTTTCAATAAACAGATACTAACTAAGTATAACCACCTCCATGCAGACTAAAGTGTACTGTGATTTATTGGTGACGAATGCTACATCAAAATTAAATTTCATACAGCTGAGGATTGTAGGTGGAATATTAATATTATTATTGTAGAAATGCATGGTTGAACATTAGCATTTTTCTTTTCATTAAAATAGAAACCCACAATTTCTCATTTTGTCATCATGTCCAAAAAACATCACAGAGAAGATGTATAACATTGTTAATTATAATGAACTGTGTTGTCAGAATTTGTTAGTATTGGGGCAAGAGTTAAAGATGAGTTTTACTGGGGATTTATGGTATCTTACTTTCATTTCTGCAGCTGTTTGCTGACTGGGGAGTAGATTACTTGAAGATGGATGGATGCTTTGCTGATCCACTCACTTTTGATGAAGGTTATCCAACTGTGACAAGAGCATTAAATGAGTCAGGAAGACACATAGTGTTCTCATGCAGCTGGCCTGCTTATCTAGTCTGGGGTGGAATAAAGGTACTTGGCCTTAATATTGGTATATGCTAGTTTAGTCTGGGGCAAGGGTATAGAAATCAGAAAATGGTTTCCAAGAAAACTGATCAATAGGTTGAAGATCTTTGATCTTTGTTATTCTTCTCCATAAAACTGTGTCGTTGTAATGTCTTTTTAATCAATTTGCATTTTTTTTCTTTTCATTTCAGCCCAACTACCCACTGATAGCAAAGCACTGCAATTTGTGGCGTAATTATAATGATATACAGGTGAGGAAATTTGTTTTCTCTCTATTTAAAAGTTAAAGAACAACAATTTGCTCCCACAAGTAAAGTTATCTACAGTCATGTTATACAATCAGTAAGGTAAACTGTTGGTTTCAGTGGCATTTATAGGTCAGGATTTGTAGCATTTATTTACTTTTACATGAATTCATAATGATATCATTGCATATATTTTGGGCTCATTAGCCACGCATTTAACCATCGAAGGCATCATGGCACATACAAATTGAATCTAGTTGTTAAAAGTGCTGGTTTAAAGAGCTGAGTAATCTGTTTAATTTTGTATTGCTTTTTGTAAGAAATATTTAAGAGGCCTTTAAATGCCAAAAACTGCAGATTGAATTTCAGGGAGGCAAAAACATTGATGAGTTAAATCAGACCTATTCTAATGTTTTAATACTTATGGTTATATGCTTTGTCAAATTTCAAGTTTCTAAAAAGGTTTATTCCTTATTAAAGTTAATAACAATGACTGTCTCAATATAACTATGCCAAAAGAATATTTTACAATATTATTTTGTTCACGCATAGAATTTCCAAATCTTATTTCTGTTGGAATATGTTGCATGTCCAACAGAACAATTTACATAATTTTCTAATTTGACATTACAGAAATCCTCGTGCTACTTGAAAAGTTGGGGTCAATTTAAGTTTCTGGGAAACTGCCCCCTACCCCTCCCCTGAGCTAACATTAACACTTACTTCTCACTTAGGGCAAAATGATGGCTTAGGGGAGGGGTATGTGGGCAGTTTCCCAGAAGCCTAAATTGATTCAAAGTTGTACAAGACTTCGACTACGATTGCGATGGGTTTTACAGTGGGTTTTCGAGTTCAGTCAGTCTTTCATCATGTAATGCCGTATAACAATTTTCCTGTTTATTGAAGGACTCTTGGTACAGTCTCATTAGAATCATTGATTGGTATGGTGATCATCAGGATGAAATGATCCCTGTTGCTGGCCCAGGACACTGGAATGACCCAGACCAGGTACACTGATAAGGGAACCAGAGCTACTGCAAAACAGCCCGTATTTTTGCCAAGGTTAAGAATGCGCGCGAGCTGTCAAAGGGAAAGGTCTGAATTGAAGGTGAAAACGGAGGTTACCGGTCGTTTCGATACAAATTCATTTCGATACAAGTTTACTTAGTTGAGTTGTAAATAGTTCCACGTACTTGACTTGAGTTCGTCTCGAAACGACTAGTATCGAAACGACCGGTTTCCAAAACGGAGAGTGAGACCGAGGAGGGACGCGAAAAATACGTTTTTTTTCGCTCTCTCTCTCTCGCCACAAACGCAAAAAAAAAAAAAAACACAAGAAAAGACAACGACTGTTTTGCACTCTAAGCTAAAATACTCAGAGGAGATTATGATCAGCTGACGGCTTCACGGCATACTAGCAGAAAGCTTTTCCCTGCCTATGACATAGTCAAAAATGGTAAACGGTGTTTTGAGATTTGGTCGAAAATCATCTGATTTTCAGAGCTTTGTGAGCTGGTTGTGGGGTTCAGACTCACGAAGTGCCAAGTGACCTAATTATAAAATAGCCGAGTTTCTACTGGATGTTATATCACAACCATTTCTGGCTAAGAAAGTCAGCATCTGCCAGGACTAAACCTAGAAGTGGCCATATATGTTATAAAAAATATATATTCTGGAGCGTAGCGTCCATTTACGCACATAGGCCCGTGCGTGCATGTACCGGCTGAAATATGAAATTTTTTTTATTTTCTGAAAAAGCAGTTTTTTATCATTAAATCGGGATGACTGATACATTTTTTGCACCATATTGGTGTCTTTGTGTTAGTATTTCCTTTATCTTTTGTATATTCCATAATTCGGATTGCTTCACTGGCTTTTTATCCCGTAAAAACTGTACCTTACCGACAACACTAGAGATGAATAAAATAAATAACTAACTACTGCGTTTTCCTACGTATTAATTTGCTGGAAATGGCATTTCCGACACCCTAAAAATAAGAATTTTCTGGGGGGAACATGCCCCCAGACCCCCCCCCCCCCAAGGATGGGCCGCTTTCGGTCCTACAACGTTTCTTTCCTCGCGCGTACACCTTCAAAATCTCACGCTACACCCCTGATAATACCATGATATTACCTCTGAAAGTCAAATGTTCCTTTTGAATGGAAGATCCTACGTTGAACTGTGTTTAACGCAGGGGCGGATCCAGGATTTTTTTTAGGAGGGGATGCACTCGTCTCTTGCTCTTCTTCAACACCAATAAACCACACAGTTTTTTTTTTTGCAAAATACCAACAGCAGGTCATCTCAGGGGGGGGGTGCGCACCCCCTGCACCCTTCCCCTAGATCCGCCCCTGTAACGGGTAAAATGCTCAGAGCAATTGTCAACTCTCCGCTGAAATGATTTGTTTCATTGTATTAATCTTGTAGCTTCTGATTGGAGATTTCAGTCTTAGCTATGAACAATCCAAGACACAGTTTGCAATCTGGGCGATTGTCGCCGCAGTAAGTAAAGATTTTTGTTCGTTTGCTTGTTTGTTATTTTTAATTCTTTGCTACCAAGAGGACTCAAGGTAAAAAATAAAACAACATTCATGGGAATTCCCAAATTTCATTTGGTAAAAAACTGAAATTGAATACAGTCGAACCTCCATTTGCGACCACCTCTCTTAAGCGATCACCAATCAAAAACACCAAAACTTCTCCAGTTTAAGCCTTACAGTTGGAACCTCTCGTAAACTACCACCTCCTGTAAACGACCGGGACCACTATTTGGAGCTGACGGTTTAATGCTTTTCTATTGTTTTAAACCTCTTGAAGCGACCACTTTACGAGTTTTCTGATCTCTTATGGTCTCTGTGTGAGATAATATACAAAGGACTTTTAGTAACAACATGGAACTGCATAAATCCTAACTTGGAAATTGCATGAAATAAATTCCCCTCCTTAAAGTAGATGTGTCCGAACTTCTACTCCGAAGAAACCCCCTGTGGTTCGATTCTCGGAAGCGACCACCTCCCGTCGCTTACTACTGCCATATGGATGCGCACACGACAGAATGTCATTCCCGTCGCCGGTTACCAGTACTTTGGACCCAAACCTGCCGGGAGACATTGCCCTGCTCTATACAGTAAACACCCGCTAATAAGAACCTGTGGTTTAAGAACCTGCTGGTAGAAATTTGGCACTTAAATACCCAAAAACAGACGAACCTGCTTAGCCATGCAAAATAAGCAAGTTCGTATTTTCGTGGGTTACAGGTAAATTAAGATAAACACTTTAACCAAGGAGTTTGACTTCGAGATTGCCAGTTGATGTTACAAGAAGATACATGCACCAAACTGTAATTACAAATAGAAGTATTACTGTAATTCCTATGACGAAAAAAGGTTAAGGGTTGTCTTCATGGACCTTGCGTAAATAAGGTTTGCAATGTACAGTTGTGAAAAAGTGCTGTTTATTTAAGGACCAAACTAAAGTTCCTATATTTTCTGAAGTCAACAACTATAAGTGCGGTTACACGGGACACTTTTACCGTGGTAAATGACCCTTGTCCCGCGGTAAACTTGGCGTGGTGCGTGTGACCGGACTTTCCCGAGATAAATTTGCCATGGAAAATATCCATGGTTACGTCAAAAAGAAAAAAGAAATCGCCCATGACATTTAACGTGGTAAATAGCTAGGGTTTTTCGATACCCAAGGCAAGAAAGCCAATCAGGTCTTTTTATTTGACAACAACATGAAACCGCCAAAATCTTTCTCTTTTCAAACGGGTTTCTTTCGCGCTGTTGAGAGAAATTAAAGATCGATTGAACTCGTTTGTTGGGCTAAATTTAGAAACGATATTTCCCAAAAAAATATGTTCTATTCCTGGCACGTAATCGAACAATGGGATGCAGCTGAACTGTAAAATGGAATCTAAGGTCAAGATTTAAAAAAATGCCACGTACCTTCGTTAAATCATCAGGACTAACAAACCATTTGAAATTTCAGCTAAACTCTTCGTAAATTTTCAACATAACATGAAATACTGCCATCATCGACGGCGATTATTACCGCAATAGCACGAATGAAGCCGTACAAGCGGCTACATTAACTTGGGAATTAATGCATGTGTAACCACTTGTTACCACGTTAAACTAGACCCACGTTAAAATTTACCACGGCTTCGTTAACGTGGGAAATGCCTTTTGCCGTGGTGTGTGTAACCGCACCTTATATCTCCTTCATAGAAATTAGGAACCTAATTAAGATTCTACTTAGCCTAAACTGCTAAAAACTACCCCAAAATGAAAGAAACTTTAGTTTTTTGCCAGACCTTAAAAAATGTGATTTCTTATTAGCGGCTATTTACTAGTGTTTAACATATGACTAGTACTAGAAGTTAGTCAAGTAGTGTTAGGTTACATGTTCGTTTTTTATGAACAGTATTAAAATACTGTTTATTTGTTGATAGCCCCTGATGATGTCAAATGATCTGCGCAACATTGCTCCATGGGCTAGAGACATCTTACTCAACAGGTAAGTCACAACTTTACTTTGTAGTACCGTGAAAAGGTCGAAATCTCCTCCGTTTTATTTTGTACCTTCCAACACTGCTACTGGAAGTTTTAACTAGTTTCGTTACACACCCAGACTCTCCTCAAACATGTGCTCACCTCGACGATCTTTTTTCTTTCAAATGCCAACTTCTTATTAATTATTGAAATAGTGCATTTAGTTTACCGAATCATTCTGATTTTATACCAGGGAGATCATAGAAGTTAATCAAGATAAGCTTGGAAAAATGGGACGCAGAGTTTCACAAGTAAGTCTGCAAAATGTAGCGAGTAATAAACGTCAACTCGCGGTTCTGAGGGTCTGGCTGTCCACAGTGATGGAAATTGTCTGTACGTCGGATTCTGAATTTTCAGCATTTCGTTGGGGACGAATTAAAAGAACATACATCCCGCGAAAAAAATCGCCGAGAAGGGCACGAACAGTCTTGCTACTCTTGTATGGATGCCATGGTTAAAACCCGTTTGGATTTTTTTAATTTATCGCAGCTTTATTTGACGAGATTCTATCATTTACCTTGAATCGGAATTCGTATTTTTAGAGATGCAACCTAGGTTCCCGCTTTTACAGCAAACCCAAACGGCATCAAGTACCACGTGATGGTGATTTTCCCGCCAGTTATTACATTTGTGGCTTTGATCGGAAGTATTCTTTTAACATCAGGGCCATTTATGTCATTTATAAGAGGAAAAATAAGACGCCTCCTAAATAAGACGCCAACTGTCCATTGTAACGGCACATTTCGTTTGAAATAAGACGCGACTTAGCTGAAACGCGTCTTATCTAAGACCAGCCCTTAACACCTATTCTTAGATAAGGCTGACTTGTCTTAGCTAAGTCGCGTCCCTTATTTCAGACGTTTTGTGGCGTAATTTAGTCAGGACAGTTTGCGTCTTAATTAGGACGTGTCTTACTTTTCCTCGTATAAATGGTGCTATTCTGAGTGTCATCACTGAAACTGGAATCGAAGATGGTTTCAGGAAATTGGACACTAACCTCCGTTTGGAAAATTCCAGTCAGGAAAACAGCACTACCATTTCAGACTTTCCGTTGCTCCTGGAAATTTGCCAACGGAAAAGTCGAGTCCTTTTTGTTGACAGTAAACTGCCCCTTTAGAATAAGGTTACACTTGCCAGTTCGTGCGCTGGTCTTACCTCGCCCTAAGGAAGGAATTTCGTATTAAATCGCTTCCTTGGTTTTACATGTATATGCGATGTGATTGGCTGAGAGAACTTTTGCTACTTTTTCAACCAGTCAGCGATTAATGAAGCTATGAACCAAAAGTTACTTTCTTAAAAGTGTTGTCCGGCTCGTGACGCGGGTTTCATGCATTTGCTTCAACCTTTTATTAGTTTATTGGCAAGATTTTACTGCGTTGTAATTGTCTTATTCTCAGCATTTACTTTAACTGAAAATAAGTAAACCGGGCGCTTATTGTAAACACTCATTTGCATATTTATCGAACTCAAAATGCGCTTTGATGAAGAAGAGAGAAACCCTGACTTCTGTTTCAGCAGCACACGCAGTTTTCATTAATATCTACAAACCTTTCAATGTTATCGTCAATTATTCCCCATGGCAATAATATTATCTTATCGCATGTGAAAACTTGCTATCTTAGGTGAAACTCAATATTTCAAAGGGTTTGTGGCAAGAATAAGTTATTTATTTGTTTATCTATTTTTGTTTGTTTGTTTGTTGTTGTTGTTGTTTTTTTGCAGAGTTTCAGACAGTACACAGAGGTGTGGAGTCGGCCATTGTCTGACGGATCAGTGGCAGTGGTTTTGTTTAGTCGAAGACATGATCAGCCATATGTAATCGAGGCTTTCTTTGATGAGGTACCGCTAAGATAATTTATTTATTTAGAAAACAAAGGAAATAATTTAAAGGCAAACAATTAAAAATTCAATACTTACTTACTAAACAATTGAAAGTTCAATACTTAGTAAAAATCCAGAGAGAGAGACAATCGTAAAAGAACAAGCTCCAACTTGGTGAAGGCCTCCAAATAATATAGCCGCATCGATTCCTGGTTACAGTCGTCAAATCGAACATGTACGAGCACTTTCAAAAAAATTTTTTATAAGGTTTGCCTTGGACCTCGTCGTTTCCCTAGGTCTTCTATATGAACGCCGCTGTTACAGTGATATGGGCATCCCCGCGTTTTGGGCATGCCTAGCCTGTGTGGCAGGCGTTTGAAAGGGAAGGGAAAGGGAGTTTTAGGCGCGAGAGAAACGCGAGGGGCGCGCGAGGATGAAGGGAAAGTCCCTGTTCTCTCGCGCCCAAAACCCCTTCTCCCCTCCTTTTCAAACGCCTGCAAGGCAGGCTAGGGCATCCCCATTCCCAAAACCCTAGTGACGTTGGCATCCCCTTCTCATATTACCTTAGCGATTTGGGTGTGCGTAAAGGGTTACAGGGGATACCGAAAACACGGGGATGCCCATATCACTTAGCCTGCGTCGCAGACGCTCTAAACCTTCTGTATACAAAGGGTTTAGACGAGTGCGTGGGCCGGCTGCAACGCAGGCTAATATCACTGTGACACTGCCTCTTTCAGTGGTCCATCTAGAGAAACTGGGAACCTCGTTTGTATCGAGATCTTTGCTGTTGTTTTATCATTGCTTGTCTGTCTGTTTGTTTGTTTGTTTGTTTATGTATTTATTTATTTATTTATTATTCATATATTCGTTTTGGTAGGTTGGGTTATCTACATCACTGGCAAAGGCGCGAGATCTCTTTGAACACAAAAACCTCGGCACGTTTAAGAAAAGCTTCAAGGCAAAAGTTAACCCGAGTGGGGTGGTCATGGTCAAATTATCTCCCATACAAGATGAATTGTGATTTGCGTAAAATTTTATCCATCATCAACAACAGCTTTATTTATTTCAAAATGTTTGTTGCAAAATTAATTTTAATACAACCTGCAAGTAGCAAAGGCTATTCGAGGCGGGTTGTGTGAAAATAAATTAATAAATGAATAAAAATAATTAGGTAGATTCGTGAAATAAAATGTAAAGAAACAAAGTGTTTTAAGAAAAAGGAAGATTAATCAGGTAAGACAATAGAGCACAATTAATTACACGAAAAAGGGTAAAAATTAATTATGTCTTAATCTCTAATTCCTATCGTTTTACTAATTTCAAAGCGACAAGATCAATGTGTTGTCTCCAGCTTAGGTTTTTTTCTATCAAAACAGCTAGGTGTTTAACATGCTTTTCCTTCTAAAAGAACCTGAGATTGCTTGTCATTGTCAAATACCCAACTTTTAGGTTGATAGGAAAGTATCCTTTAATGGGGACGAAATATGACATAATTGGCTTTCTTAATATTTGAGGTTAGCCTATTTGCAGTAAGCCATTCACAAAGTTTTTTTAATTCTGCATTAACAGTCTTCTCTAATGATTTAAGGTTCCTATTTGCATAAAGTAAACTAGTATCGTCAGTTAAAAGGTGAAACTTCAATTTATTTGAGCAGTTACCAATATCATTAATGTAAAGTACAACAAACAGGGGACCAAACACTGAGCCTTGCGGGACTCCGCAAGGAGGTTTACTGTATTAGAAATAATGACCCAACTTAAGTTGTCTGTGCAAGAGATTGTAGGTAGGAACCAACTGTTGTTTACACCTCTTATACCATAGTGTTCCAGCTTATTTAAAAGTATATTATGGTTTACCGTGACAAAAGATTTTTTAAGATCAATAAAAATGTCACATGAGAATAATTTGTTATTCATATTATTTTGGGATGGTGCTAATAATATCCAAAGTTGCATGATGTGTTGCATGTCCGCGATTAAAACCGTACTGACAATAGCCTGTTCAGAGACCCTCTATTTTCTCTTCAAAGTCCGTCGAGCGCGGGTGATAAAATATAAACCGCAGGGGATTTATTGGCCGTCAGCGCACTATTTTCAAGGTAATTTTCGCTTATTCAATCGAACTGAGTGCAAACTATTTTTCGTAAATTATGGTAATTCATGACATTTCTAAACAAATTGAACAGCGCGCGCGCATAGGCAAAAATCTTTTTTCTTTTCGTTTTATACTATTATACTAGTATAATAGTATAAAACGTCAATCCACAATTGCGTCAAAAGACAGGGTGCCCAGCATATGATTTTTTTGAAAACACTAACATCTCCTACTCACCCGAGAGCAAAACCGATGATCAGAGTACTGTTTGCACGTAAAATATGTTTTTACAGGAGCCTATTCTCTTTTCTGAAAGTAGCTCCCGATCAATACTGTAATAAAATTTAATTATTTGTTGCCGAAGGCTCGTATCTTTTTGTAGAAAATCATGTCTCGTTTTTGGGCGAGGCCAGCTGTAGTGTTTAAGCAGTCTGTTAGAGTCCTATGATTTCTTTAGATTGCGGAGAACTTAAAATTAGCTGTTTTTGAATGGCACTATTTCGGACGTCTTATATCCGAATATTTGGCAAAAACCACCGTTTGAAATAGTATAAACTGTCGGCCGTTTCCACCCTCCGAGTCGCCCCAACCTCGTTCCAAGGGTTTTTTCCGTTGGGAAATGGGAGGGGTGGTGTTACTGTGATACAGTGACATGGCATGGGCATCCCCGCGTTTTGGGCATCTCCATTCCTAAAACCCTTTGCGGTTTGGGTTAGGGTTAC